CGAGGAGGGAGAGAGAGAGGAGGAGGAAGGGCATAGAGAGAATTACGCTTACATATTAATTTTTGAATCACCTGAGGATTACTCCCAGCTTATTTCACCTAACGTAACCTAACCTAACCAAGGCTGCATTAGGGTGTTTAATCATCAAGTGAAACAGATCTGAGGGGTGTCTAATCTTCAGGTCATCACGAGAAACACCTCAAACTCCACGTTAAGGTGTGACAAACTGGTACTTCAGCAGGTGTAACAAATAACATAGACCTGTGTATGGGTTAATAGTCACCATCACTCCAGCTGGGTCACTGAGGCACGATCTTAACTCTGAAAGGGAAGAATAGGTTGTTGACAAAAGTAGGTTCGGGCCCCCGTCATTACCTCACTATTGTAAACACCATCTTGTGCCGACCTACACTCCATTACACCCACTAACACCCTCCTACACTTACCAGTATATATACTCCAATAAACACAACTCAAAATCATACGCGGGAGTGTCAATATGGGACGTGGGTGTCGCTCCCCCCCCCCCTTCCCAGTACCTTCTTGTGCCACACACACACACACACACACACGATACCATTGCCACTGACAGTCTCATCATCACTGATTCTCTATCCTCACTACTTGCCCTTGACACCCTCAACTCAAGTTGTCACGCTCTTGTCTCTGAAGCCAGACACCAATATGCGTACCTTGTTGACCGGGGTGTCAAGGTCAAACTGTTGTGGATCCCCTCTCACAGAGGCCTCATAAAACATGACAGAGTTGATGCCCTCGCCAAACTCGCGTCTAACAAAGACACTGTTGAATACAATCTGGGTCTGTCAAAAAGAACCCTTAAAACTGTAATCAGAAAAGAACTTGCTAGTGAACTTGAAGCCAGTAGACAAGTGCAAGCAGGCACTAGTCGATCCATTGTTTACCATGATGAGATGTATCAAGTGAAACATGTACATGGAGCAAGTAACAAGATCACTAGATTACAATATGTTGTAACCGCTAGACTAAGGTTAGGATATAAGTACCTCTGGCAGTATGTCCCCCAATCAAATGTGAACAAGACTAAATGTAAAGTGTGTGGCCAGACATATGGCCACCTATTACGGACAGGTCCAAGCACACTGTGTGTGAAATGGCACAACACTTTATCTCTAAGGACAAGATAGCTGACATATTAAGATTGTATCCATTCTTTGCACTTAGTAGCTAAGTCAGTTCCCATGTATAGAACCAAACACACAATGTGCTTGAATACCTCTCAAGCAAATGTGAATAACAAAGTGTGCGGCCAGACATTTTGCCACAGCGTCTCAGTCTATTTTTAGTAACTTCAGCGAGTGATGAACTGTGCTGTACAGTAGTCCAGACAGGGACGTACGGGAGAGTTAGTTTTGTACAGTACTTGAAGATACGACTTATAATTGTTAGAGTTTGTTGCTCCCGTGTGTTACGCCGCCTTCAGGTCTTACTACGATGCTTGGATCGTGTTCCTGATCAACAGTTTCCCAAAAAAATTTTATTTACAGAATAGTTGTAATCATGGTTAATGGCTAGTGTTGTATTGACATAGAAAAGAATATAAGGTGGTTAATTATTATTATTATTATTATTATTATTATTATTATTACCTGAAAATGTGTCGGAAGGTGATCTTGGTTCTCAAATAATTGTATACTTGGTGTAATGATCAAACCATTTTAAAAGTTAATCACAAAAGACTTAATATAATCCCTTCCACTAGTTTGTTAATATATTTTTCTGCTTATAGGGCAACACTAATTATTCACGTTTTTCTCCTATAGTTTGTTAAAAAGAAAATCATTCGTAGTTTAGAAGTTCGGGGGAAAAGTTAATGTGAAAAATATCCGTTTTCTGTATTCGCCTGAGAGTTAATGGTTTACCATCAACCGTTCCCGTTTTTTTTGGAGTCATTTTCTTAATTGTTTTCAAAAAATTCTGCTAATGATCCGCGTATTTGTCTGACTTCTTCACTTTTAAAGTATAATTATTCTCTCAACTGTGTATGAATGTTCATCCAACTGCGTAGAATTATTTGTTCACCTGTGTAGATATGTGTTTAATGTTCACCCAATGTAGAGCAGCGGCCAGTGTTGTTGAAAGTCGTTAATGGTCGTTTAGTTGTGTAAAAATATACGATCATCTGTGAACATTATTTCCTGGTATACAAAGACTGGTTCAGTGAGGACAGGGTAGTTGCTCGTGGACCCATACCCGGGCTGACCAGTGTCTCTACCATGGTGCAGTCGGGGTCAAAAGTCTTGAACACTTGACAGTATTTGTCATGTAAGTACCCGAAGATCTTAGGTATTAAGGAGAGTTTTATCCCATTTTGTGGTTCAGGCATAATATGTGATGACCAGTAGTGTTATTAGTGTATCCCAATCATATAACTCACAAGTAGATGCCAGATATTGATAAGTGTTAAAGACTTTTGACCCCGACTGTACATGTACGGTACGGCGGGCCCCACACAGGCCCCTTTGATAAGCCCCCAAACTCCTCCCCCCCAAGTGCAGGTGGGTTGGGCCCCCATCGCCAAGTGAAATAGCACGGACCCCAAACAGGGACCAGCCCGAGGCCGAGTGGGTCCCACAGGTCATGACTGCCCGTTAGGGACAGTGTGGATACAACACACTGTATACTAAGCCTTCAGTACACAAGGAGGCAACATGGCCGGTACTGCTCTTGACCGCCTTCACTTCCCCATTTACAGCTGGGTGGACCGGGGGTGCCTATGACTAGAGGCGAGAGCTGTTTCCACGACCTAACCTCTCGACTGAACAGTGATGAACAACTACACTCGACCCGTTTTCTGTTCAGTCACCATTGTTTTGGAGCAGTTGATTCAAAGTTCTTTTAGTGACTGAAACATAAACAACATTTTACTAATGAAGTTTAATGTTTGTAAGTTGGGGTTGTTAGAGAGAGAGAGAGAGAGAGAGAGAGAGAGACGAACAACCAAGAGAGACAAGAGAGAGAGAGAGAGAGACGAACAACCAAGAGAGACAAGAGAGAGAGAGAGCGCAATTCATTTCGTTCAAATTTATATCTTAGACAAAATAGATTTCGATGTCCTCCCAAAAAATAAGTTTCTTTACATTTCATAATATTAAAGAAGAGAATATATTGAAGATCGCGTCAGGGTGTGTTACTCCTGTCTGAAGATCTTAGGAGTGCTGTCGGTGTCTTAGGAGTGCTGTCAGTGTCTTAGGAGTGCTGTCAGTGTCTTGGGAAGGAAGATAAAGGTTAGGGACGTATGAATTTGTTTTTATATAGTGTAGTTCTTTTGTTTTGATCTCTCTCTCTCTCTCTCTCTCTCTCTCTCTCTCTCTCTCTCTCTCTCATACAACTTGATGAAAAATATTATTACTTCTCAAGGGACACGAACTTCCTTTGTCAATTCTTGGGTCCTGTGGTGGAATCTTCACAAGAGACGATACAGGTGTTATTATTAATGAGGGTACGGGGGTAGATGAAAGGCAGGTGTGTGAGGGAAGGGGGGAGGGAGAGAAGGAGGGGTAGGGAGAGAAGGAGGGGTGAAGGAGGTAGGGAGGGAGAGGAGGAGATGAGAAACAGAAGGGGGAAGAGGAGGGAGTTTTTAATGTAATTTTATTGGCAAGATTTGGGGTGAGTTTTACCCTTCTGAGTGCAGTAGTTCAGTCACGTCTTGTCACTGAGGGTGTTAACACAAGGGGAGACGGCACGATAGATTGGGTTAGGTTAGGTTAATTATAATTTATTGAAGAGCAAACGACGTGGAATAGTAAATTTAGGATTAACTGTCAGGATATCGTCAAGGATTCCTGTATGGGATAGGGTGGGCTATCCAACGCCTTCTAACAACCATACAACCATACAACTCTAAGAATTACCCACAATAACCAACCCAGCAGTGCATAATATTACCATAATACTAACTTAATTAGTCTTCAATTTCTGTGTTATGAACGGCCCTTCCATCTCTAATCTCCCTTCATCCTCTGTTTTTCTCTACATAAAAGAATCTGTATACTGAGCTCAGAAGAAGTCAACATGTTTTTAACCTGCCGCCTTTACCTTCGCTCATAAAGTCAGTTTTTAGTTTAGTGGTGAGGTGAAAGTTAGAAGGTTGCAGTGTGAGCTGTTTGGGTGGCAGTAATGCAGAGGAGAACCAAGTTTAACACTCATATTAACATTAATTCTTCAACATTCTATACTGTTTTGTTTTTGACCTACTGTACTTCTCCGCAATAATAATAATAATAATTCAATAAAGTTGTCATACGGGTTTATAATTGTATAAGCCTGTTTATAAACTACAAGAGACACATTGATACCGAAGTCCTGTAGGAGGGAAATATTCGGCAATGACTTACGTAGTTAAGAAAAAGTTAACCTATGTGAACTTTGGACCCAATATATGGTCACAATCTGAAATATGTAATTTTTCTTGTGAATGTATTCTTCCTGAAATTTCCCTTTAAATAAGTTTCCCTGCCAGTCTGTTTTGTAATTCCAAGGAAGTGACGTAATCAACAACCGCTATTTCTTCTTCAGTTGTCAAATTTACCCAAGAATATCTGTAAAATACGAGTTTATGTTAGGATTTACTTTGCATACCTGAGAACTCAACAAAGATGTAGGCATGCATTATTTAAATCTGACACTGCTGGATATAGAATAACTCTTTTCACATTCCATTTGTTACTAAAATAAAACAACATTATAAATTAAATAGTTAAAATATAATACCCATACCATTTTTATTATAACTGTGATTAGAATAATTTTATTTTAGTTACCCACTCAACAAAGGGATAACGGCAACTAAAAATTTTAATGAGATCGTCTTTAATTGTTTAAGTATTTATACATTAGTTTATCAAAATATATCTTTTTATTAAATACTGATAATTATTAGAATATTATCTAAAGTATATTGTACCATTTTGTTAATTTAATGTATTGTTTACATGGAAAGTAGTTTAGTACCGTATCCTTCATGTGTATGGAGGAGGGTTGGTACAAGAGGAAGATGAGAGAGAGATAAAGTCTTAATTAACTCCTTTAATTAACTACAGTCATGGAGGAGAGCGAAGAAAAGAGAGGAAGAATACGAATAGAGGAGAAACTAAAGAGATACGAGAAGATAGACTTTTTAGGAGAAGGACAGGTGAGTAGAGGTCAGAGGTCAGACGAGTAGTTATGGGGTCAAGTGATAATATTGACCTACCTTAATTACCTAATGGAAGGGTCACTATGTCTGTAATATAAAATAACTTGGTTGATGGTTGTACGCTTCGTAGTAGTAAATTTAACCCTACAGTAAATTTGGTAAATGTGTAGAAGACGGTCCAACTAATTACCCTAATGTACCCTAATGTAGCCAAATGAAGTCAAATAATGGTCCTAGATGAATAAATCGGACTGCTAATCACTTCTCGACTAGTATTTGGTGTCAGAAAGTCACAAAAAATTGGAAAACTTAATTTAATCTGAGTTAATAGATCAAGTGTATGTACCTAAACTAACCTAACCTAACCTAATCTAATCTAATCTAATCTAACCTAACCCAACACAACTCAGATTAAATTAAGTTTACCAATTGTTTTTTACTTTATAACACCAAATAATAATCGAGAAGTGATTCACAGCCCGAATTACGCTTTGTACGACCATCATTTGACTTCATTCCGGCTACATTTGGGTAATTCCTCGCTCCCTCGGTACATGCACGCGATCTATTAACTCAGATTAAATTAAGTTTTCCAATTTTTTGTGACTTTCTGACACCAAATACTAGTCGAGAAGTGATTAGCAGTCCGATTTATTCATCTAGGACCATTATTTGACTTCATTCCGGCTATATTTGGCTACATTTGGGTAATTAGTCGGACCCTGTAGAAGAGGGTGACCACCAGAAGGAATTGTCCGAATTGGTTGGAATTTTTTCTACATACTGTTATCATGATACTAAACACAAAAAATGGAAACGACAATGCATAGAACCCAATATAACCTGACCTAACACACATGTTGTTCAGGTAAAATTATCGTTTCGGTCATACACCTATTTGGAAGCAGGTCAGAAGCATTTAAAACATTCAAAACCATCGGAAAAACATAACTTCAAACTAACCTAACCTAACTTAACCTATCCTAACCTAAATTAACCTAACCTAAACTTAAAATCCTAAAATTCGCTGCATGACCGAAATGGTAATAAGATATAACTGCAGTTTCAGACAATATGGGTCTCGAGTTGAGGAATGAGTTTTCCGATGGTTTAGACAATTTTAAGACACTTTCCTTCTGTGACCTTCCCCTCGCAAATTACTCAAATATACCGGGGGATAGGTTAGGTAATTTGAGGTCATTTGCAACGGAAACATCAAAGAAGAAAGGTGTCTTAAAATTGTCTAAACCATCGAAAAAACACGTGGCACAACTACTAGGGTTATTGTTCGAAATTGCAGTTTTACCGATTATAATACCGTTGGTCATCCTAGAATTTATCCAGTCCTCTCTTAAATAACTTGACTATGGGCACTAACTACACTACCTGAGGGACTTACAGGGGTTCACTACTATCTTCCTAAACTGTTCGGTTTTTGTGTTGCTTCGTCGTATTTCTTTCGTGGTTCCTTTTATAACTGGCAGCTTGAGAGATAGGTGACAGTTAGTGATACAGTCAAGGTGGAGGGTACAAAGTCCGCCCACACCGTTACTGGACGGCGGGTCACTCTCCGGCCATCGTCCCCAATATACAAACAGTACTGGAAAAGAATGTCATTGTTTTGTTTAATAAATTCATGAAACAATTTAGCCAAATCAAGTTTTACATTTTTGACAGCCACCATTGGATCCACTGCTTGAAAGTATTTTGCTAGATCTTGAAAATTTTACCCCAACTTTAAAAGCTTGAAAAAAAAAATTAAAAACCTCCCACATATATTGAACATTTCTACATATTTTTCTATTTATTTATTTTTTTATTATTAATTTCATGTTTGATATTTGATAATCTTGGTTAAACTAAAAATTACAATGTTCTTTTGGTAATTATTTTTTTTAGTAATTTGGTAACTATTATTACAGTAAACAGGTCTACTTGTTTAGATAGTACCAGTAAGTAAAATGTCTGCTTTGATTTACTCAGATAGAACTTTAGTTTAGTCTCGTCTCCAGCCGCCCAAACGAATAGATCTCATTTTCTTTTGTGATGCAGAATGCGGTGTCTATTATCATTTTAATATGTATTATTTTCGTGTACAGTATATTTTAAATACTTTGTACATTTTACATAATTGTATTGATTAATTTAAAGTAATTGTAATTGGTTTTAATTTCATCATATCTTTAACAAATTTTAGCCTTCTGGAAAGACTCTGACACGATTCTGGAAAACATTGATTTTTCATGAGGGGCATAACTGACAATGACCCACCACACAGTAAGGATGGGGGGCGGACTTTGCACACTCCACTTTGACTGTATCACGAACTTCAGCCCAGGACTGTACCTGTTTGTCATACAGTATTCCCACTCACAACCTTATACATCTCTGTGGAAGAAAGCCTATGTCTTACCCCTTAAATGGAAAGATATAGATGGAGGTTTTGTTTTGAGTGAGAACAGTCTTACTGGCCTGTCATATCATACTCACTAAGAAACAGCAGCAACTTTAGACAATTTTTGTAATGGTGGTGATGATAAATTTTCCTTTATGTTAACAATACAGTACTGTAATATCCCCCAAAATTGAATACCCTGTAATTATTAACAAGAATGGGAGTTGCAATTTTCATGGTACTACTGTGTTGTATTATTATTAGTGTGGTGATACACATTAGCACAGTAGTGGTGGCATCTTCCCAGCAGTAGTGTGGACATTATCCTTTCCATACACAAGAGGACTTACAGTAAAGTTTATATTACTGTATTATGATATATTGTACGTAAGATGAACCAACCAAAGACTACGTAACATACCTATCTTAGGATGAAAGTATATTATAATTATTATTTTGTTTGGTTAGATTAGGTCTTTTGTGTGTGAAAATCTAAAATTGTTTTTTCAATGCTAAATTCAGATTTTTCTTTCTTTCTTTCCCTCTAGATTTTGAATTCATTGTATTGAAAAACATATTGCTGAAGACGCCAGTGATAAAACCCATTGTGGTTTTAATTATGTTCAATCTGCTTACATTTGTTTGATCAGGATAACTTTGGTTGATTCTTGCCTCTTGCTGTCAGAAAAGTGTTAACTAATTCTAAATAAGATAACTGTGCTGTTTTCTTAGCCAAAGTAACTTTATTTAACTTCAGGAAAGATGAATGTACATATTACAGTGATAATGTTTAACCACTTGGGTCCAGGTGGTCAATCTGTTAGTGAAGGGGTTTAGTACTGTACTGCCTAGAGTGGTAAAATGTGCATTTTGTACTGTACACTCATTGTACTGAAATTATTTAATTTTATTTGAATGTGGAGGGCAGGAGAGCTATGGGAAGGGCAAGAATGACATGGTGAGAGGTTCCAGTATAAGAAATGACCTCAGAATTATGAACCCAACAAGAGGATGGCCGAAAGAGACCATGTGACGTGTGGAGCTGCCATCAAATAATCACAGATAACCCACACAAGCGTAGAAAATGGCCGTATAACTGATGACTGCGAAGTTAATCATTTAGGATTATATGAAGGTGAATAAGTAAATGAAGAATAATGGTAGAATAAGTACAGTCATTCATTTATCCATTTATTATGAGTATTTGGGACAAGAGAAGTAAATTTATCTTTTTCCTTTTCAGTTTGCTACTGTATACAAGGCTCTGGACGTGGAGACAAACCAGATTGTTGCCGTGAAAAAGGTAAGCAATTTTGGACAGGTTTTCCTTAATGTTTTTCTTTTTATTTATATCTCCCTTTATCTTAAATTGGGAGTTTTCTTTCTTTCATTTTTCACTTGAGGCCCAAAATTTTATCCCAGAATTTTCCCAATGACAGAAGAGTAGAAATATAAGTGTATTTTAGATATATTAAAGTAGGAGTCATGCCTGAGGTGTATGATACAGCGTTCATTATTCACACATCCTTCCATAACTTCTTTTGTTCTTTCTTGCTGCTGATGTTCATTTGTTCTTCTCTCCTTAACTAGCCTCTATCTCTTCTTTTTTTTTCTTCACTCTCCTCATCACACATAATCTCCACTCCTCTCATAAGATAGAATCATTGATATTTTTAAGCTAATTTATGATCACTGCCAACAGATCAAGCTTGGCAGTAGGGAGGAAGCACGAGATGGCATCAACCGCACAGCTTTACGGGAAATTAAACTGCTTCAGGAGGTCCACCACCCCAACCTCATTGGTCTTCTCGACGTGTTTGGTTACAAGTCCAATGTCTCGCTCGTGTTTGATTTCATGGATACTGACTTGGAGGTGAAGTAATTTGGGGTGATTTTTTTTTATATAAATTGGAAAATATTTTGTGTTAGGTATTCTTGAGGGAATTTTTTGTGAATGGGGAAATATTTTGTAAGCATTGTATATATGTAACCTAGCATCTCTTAACATTAGTGTAGTAAATTGTGTGTTGTGGAATTAGTGTTTGTGTGTTGTAGAATGAATGGTTAATGTTGTGTTTGTTCCTGCAGGTGATAATCAAAGACACAGACAACATCATCCTGACACCAGCCAACATCAAGGCTTACATCATGCAGACTCTAAGGGGACTGGAGTTCCTTCACCTTCACTGGATCTTGCATAGGGTATGGAAAGTGGCTTGTCATCTTTACTCTTATTATTATTACTGTTTTAGTATTGTCATAATTATTATTGGTGTTTTTTTTACTACTGTTATCAAAGTAATTTGTATTTACTGTTTTATTATGGGTAGAGGTACTGTATTAACTTAGAATTTAAATACATTATTTTTTTTAAACTACAATAGTCATTTTTTTTTCTAGACATTAACAATCAGGATTCATTTATGTTAGACATGTTGGTACTAGTGAGGAAACCCATTTATTAATGGAAAACTTTGTTGATTCTGAGATTTCATGAAAAAAATTTAATTTATTATATTTTCTAAGATTTTGTATTCAGCTGATTGTTTTGATTTCCATATGCCTAGAACTACTGTACTTACAGGTACATTACAATTGGTTTAGCCTGGGCTAACCTATACAGGCCCACATCCAGAAGTCAAATGAGACCGTTGAAATTTTCTAATTACACCACTGCTTCCTGCCTCTTGCATTTCAGATATTGTTGAGGGTAAACATGACTTTACTGAGGTACACCTTAATACTGTACTCCTTGTACTTTATGTTTGACATAATGTTTAGTTTAATACAGTTTTCTGTTGTACAGTGGGGTATGCTATAACGAATCTAATTGGTTCTAGAGCCTTGTTCGTTATAGCATTCGTTCGTTATAGGATTAATCCGTTCCAGGTCCCCAAATACAACCACTTAACACTGAAAAATATAATATAAAATTGTAAAAATTTAAAAAAAAGGCATAAATATGCATCTAAACTCCTGAAATAAAGAATATTATTAATACTTGTAGTAAAACAATAAATTAGTAAAAAAAAATAAAAATAAAACAAATAAAATAAAAAATAAATACTGTTCATTGTAGGAGTTTCGTTCGTTATAGCATTCTCAATTTTATAGGTAAAACCGTTCGTTATAGGAATATTCATAGTAGAATCCGTTCGTTATAGCATACCCCACTGTACAAGTGTAGATAAAACATTGAGTAAATTTCACCAATGACATTTTCTCACTCACTGCTTCTTCCCACATACAGTTGTCACTGGTTTGTTTATATACTGTAGCACATTTTAATAGTAACCATGATTTTGTTCGGGTACTTCTTAATGCTGTAAACAAAACCTCGGCAGTGAGTAGTGTGAAGAAAAGTTTGTGGGCTACAGATGGTGGGGATAGTGGCAGCCAGATCAGCTGCTCTCCAGACTTAACCTGCATTTATCAATGCCTTTTCATTGCATTGCAGCTGTCGTGTTTCATTGCAGTTTTTGTTATAATTATGGGTTTAATAAAGAGTGTTTGACTGTGGCCAATCATGCGCTGACATAATCATGTCGCATAAGCCGTCATACTCACATACAGTACAATAGGTCCATTCAAAAAACATTCAGATTTATACTTTAGATTTCATATAAAGGATCCTTGACCTGTAATGACAAGTTTTAACAGGTAAAGTTCCAAGTACCATTCAGTTGTGAAAATTCTGCTTTTGGTTTACCTGGGAACATTTCCTCCTTCATTAAATACTGAGTTATTTCTTTATTTGTTTTGTTTTAGGATCTAAAGCCTAACAACCTGTTAGTCAACTGTGAGGGGGTGCTGAAGATTGGAGATTTTGGTTTAGCACGATTCTTTGGCTCGCCAAACAGACAATATTCCCACCAAGTGGTTACTAGATGGTATAGGTAAGTGTTTGTTTATTGTAAAGCTCTCACTGGTACAGGTTACTGTGAGAGGCCTTCATATTAAGTGAGTAAATCAGAACATATAAGAGATCAGAATTAATTGTTGCTTGGGAGGTACTGTACTGGTAGCAATGTTGGGGGCAGGTTAGTACAGAACCGTTCTTCAGTACTACAACTTGTTATTTTCCCATCAGTTTGGTGAAAAATATTGGGGATCAGCTGAAGGTTAGACATCCCAGTATATTTTAAATGAAAATTAACCACACAAATGGTAGCCCACCTTAACATATCTTAACTTAACCAATCTAGCCCCCCCATCCCCAGGTAATATTAGGGTGGTTAATCTTCAGGTGAAATAAGCTTGAGGGTCTAATCTTCAAGTGATCCCATTCTTGTATTACTATCATTGAAGATAGTCATTTTGATTTATTTCATGCTGGCATAATGTCATCAATCATCATTATAGAGTAGAAATTGATACATAATAAAGTACTTTATATATGCAGTGTATGAGAAACTTGAGTCACCACTGTACATAAGGAGACATATGATTACTGAAGCATAGGTGGATCATCGGGATCACTGGTGGAAGAGGGTGAAGCAGTGGTGGTTGGTGGAGAGGTGTGCTACCGGGAGGAGGCTGGGAGGAGGAGGGTGGAGCAGTGGTGGTTGGTGGAGAGGTGTGCTACCGGGAGGTGGCTGGGAGGAGGAGGGTGGAGCAGTGGTGGTTGGTGGAGAGGTGTGCTACCGGGAGGAGGAGGGTGAAGCAGTGGTGGCTGGTGTAGAGGTGTGCTACCGGGAGGAGGAGGGTGGAGCAGTGGTGGTTGGTGGAGAGGTGTGCTACCGGGAGGTGGCTGGGAGGAGGAGGGTGGAGCAGTGGTGGTTGGTGGAGAGGTGTGCTACCGGGAGGTGGCTGGGAGGAGGAGGGTGAGCAGTGGCCGTAGTAGCTGGTTCTTTTGGGAAAAACATGGTGATTGGTAGATGTTTCTCCTTTGCTTTGAGGTCTTTAAACATTTCCTGGTAGGGGAAACAATACCTTGTTGATTCCTCGGACCATCTTAAGGCTCTGTTCCATGGAAGGGTCGTGGTCAACAATTAAATCATTTACCATCTTTACCTGACAAAGTAGTTCACCAAAATTGTCCAAGCTCCAACCTTCTTGTTGCAATTCCATAATTTCTTCATTTTCCTCGGTACTTTTTACCAACTCTTCCAAATCCTCTTCTGTCAGTTCCTCTGTCAGGTCTCTTGTCTTTCCTTCTGCTATAGAATTAGACTTGATGCTTCAGTCCTTTGTGCTTTAATTATTCGTGTGACGCTACAACTATTACTTCCCTTTATTTCAGGAGTCCCGAACTACTGTTTGGGGCACGTTCCTATGGGACAGGAGTTGACATGTGGGCTGTAGGTTGTATCCTTGCTGAGATGTTGGTACGATGTCCCTATTTTCCAGGGGATTCCGACCTGGACCAGCTCACTAGAATATTTACTGCCCTTGGCACACCCACAGATGATACTTGGAAGGTAAGCAAATTTATTATCATTATTTGTTATTTATTTTTTTCTCTCTCTCTTCCTGGTAATATATACGTATTGTTTGATGACGAGAAGTAAAAGAAAACACAGATCATCTCCCTTCGTTCACTGTCACTCAGTCATTCTTACTGCTGTCATAGATGTTTACCTGTTTTGTGATTCCCCTTCCCCAACAAAGCCTTCAATATCCATCTGGTTTACCCCTGTACCTCCACTCAACATAACAAAGCAGCTCATCCACCTCAGTTATCACTTGATGATGTGTTCTATGGTTAGTTATTTACTGTACATCATATGATATTCACTTCTTCCTGAATGTCCATCCAGTTCACTTCTTGTGTGTTCTTCACCTCATCCTTCCATCTCCTGTTTGTTCTTCTTCCCCTCTCCCTCCTACCGTCCACCTCAGAATCATGCAGTCTTAGCCAATCTTTCACTGCTAATCTTCCTAATATATCCATACACCCAAGCAAACCTGATCCACCCTGTGTCTGATGCATCTTTCATTTCTACATCTTTACCTAATTTCAAATTATTCTTATCCTCACCATTCTATATGCAGTACAGTACTCACACATACTGTTTCAAGCACACCTTCTCTGTTGCTTCAATTTTTTCCTTCCACTTGCATTCAGAATTCATGTTTAACTCCCATAAATAATATTATTTCAGTGATTCTCCTCTACAGGCTAAAAAAAGTATCTTCACATCTTTGGCTGGTCATTATTGAAACCTGGCCGATTATACTGAGAGCGTAACTGTGACTACATCTCATCAGTTGGTATGCCTGACTAGATGCAAATTTCAAATTTTTCAACCACTTAATATTTTAGTTGTGATATACAGACATACAGAACAGGGGATCCCCCAAGTTCGTGGATTTTTATTTTGCGGTCCTCTATTATTCGCAGATGACACCCTGGATGTACCCAAGAATGTCTGTGGGTAGTTTTAAAGTTGCCGGAATTTTCACAGCTGGGACAAGGAGCCATTCGTTCTAGAGACAGTAATTTTCTTTACCTGTATTATAAATATGTGTGTGGGTGTGTGTAGACACACACACTCAAAACACACACAAATAAATAATACTTGGAAAATCCTCTTACAAATAATCAGAAACAAATTTATTATAAATGTGATAGTCTACCCTCAAGTCTGTGCTTTATTAATAAAGTAATAAAGCATAGAGTTGAGGGAAGACTGTCACAATTTTAATAAATTTGTTTCTGATTATTTGTGCGAGGATTTTCCCGTTATTATTTATTTGTATGTGTTTTGTATATACAATACAGATGAAAGAAATAATTGTCCTAAGGGCAAACACATAAAGGGAATATACATTTCTTTGTACACAAGTAAAAATGTAATTTCAAGCACCCCGCCCCCCCAAGTCCACATATGTTATTCGCGAATTTGGCGATTAGTGGCCATTTAGAGAACCTAACCCCCGTGAATTTTGGAGGGGCCCCTGTATACTTAATAATGAATAATCCTTAGAGAAAGTAAGTAATTATGCAAATCGATTTGATGGTGTAACTGACTACCCTTTCCAGGGTTCCACTGACCTGCCAACTGTTTATGAGGTACACAGATGCCTGCATCAAATGGCTCAACTTTTCCACTATTTATGCACCAAAAATTTGAGAAGATACTTTATTCTTAGACTGTACATGTCCATTTTTCCTCCCTTGGTACAGTACACTAATAGAATTAACTGTGTACTCTTTCTTCTTCTTGCAGGATATGACCAAACTCCCTGACTTTGTGGCCTTCAAGCACTTTGATGGTTCGCCGCTTCGTGATCTCTTCCTTGCTGCCAGCGATGACTTGTTGCAGCTTCTCGGATCACTGCTCACTATTAACCCCTCAAAGAGATGCAGCTGTACTCAGGCTCTCAAAATGCCTTACTTCAGGTAGCTCATGAGTTATGTTGTTGAGGTTGTTCTGTACTCTATCAGGTAGTATTAAAGTCCTGCCCCAGTGATCATGATACTGTACAGGCATCCCTCAGAGTGTGAAGTTACAAAGGCTTGATTTATTTATGGTTTTCTGGGACAAAAACGTGATGTAGGTCAAGTGATGCCCGTTCAGAATGTCAGCTTGGTGGTTGTGTAGACTTTGTTAAAAAAATTAGAGGACACACTTGATTGTTATGTGGTAAGCAAATAACTAACCATTACAAAATTTATACGCAATTATCAAAGGATTTACGTAATTATTCGAGATTTCTGAGAGTACAATTATGAATGGACAGTCCTGGATTGTTTTTCTTTAAAGTGGTTGGATCTTTGTGTGTCCAGGCTCTTGTGTTATTTGTATAATATTCTTTTATAAATTTTCTAAAGACTTTAAATGCTGAATACAAAAAATATTGGATTATCTCCAACAGCAAAGGTCACAATGACAAGGAACATTTACTTTCTCTTTAAGGCTTCATCATGAAAAGTAGAGAAGTTTATTTAGATTTTGAGGAAATACAATATGTATCACATTTTAGATTGACTTCATCGTTTAGTACAAAGAGAGAGAGAGAGAGAGAGTGAACTTTGGGAGAGCGTGTGAAATAATGTATATGTGTTAATTTACTTTAGTTGGACTAACTTTCAAAAGCATCATTTAGTTTACAGGCTATAACTTATACCTACTTTCTGCAGCTTGTAAGTAATTGTGTAAATCATCAGTGTGTCCTAACTCATGAACTCACACACTGATCCAGCTCTTGACCATACACTCTGCTCCAGCTCTTGACCTCACACTCTGCTCCAGCTCTTGACCTCACACTCTGCGTCCTCCCACAGTAACCGTCCAGCACATACACCCGGGCCACTGCTGCCTCTCCCTCCTTCGATAAAGAATAAAAAGGATCATGACAAGCCGACCCTCAAGCGCAAGATCGTTGAGGAATCTGGATTTGGAGGTGAGTTTCTTGTTGTATCTGTAGTGTCCCACTCTTACCCTCTCTGCCAGGCCACATCATCGTGATTTGTCTTTTTTTGCACCATTAACTTTACGAAATGCAGTACGGGGGGCCCCCAATTTCGCGGGGGTTAGGTTCTTAAAATGGCCGCAAGTGTTTGCCCTTAGGACATTTATTTCTTTTACCTGTATTGTAAATGTGTGTGTGTGTGTGTGTGTATATACACACACACACACACACACATACATACAATACAGGTAAAAGAAATTAGTCTCTAGAATGAATGGCTCCCTGTCCCAGCCGCGAAAATGCCGCAACTTTAAAACTACCCACAGACATTCTTGGGTTCATCCAGGGTGTCAGCCGCAAATAATAGAGGACTTCGATAAAAAAAATTGCGAACTGGGGGGGGGGAGGTGTACTGTATTTATATATTGTTGTGGTATAGTTATCTCTCTCTCTCTCACTCAGTGCTGTATTAGTGTTAAGCAACAATGATGTAGCATATAGCTCAGCCAGTAAGTTAAGTTAGGTAAGGTAATACATTTCTTCACCGTCCTTGCACTGCAGTTAAGACGTTTAGTATTTTATGTAATAGAATAAAAATTGCTCCTTATCTTCTCACTGTTACACGTTCAGCATTCGTGAGTTCGTTTATATGTGAAATATATTTGGTTTTGTGCAGCTGATGGTTTGAAATCCTGTTCTGTACCTCTTTCTCACTGTGTAAATGATGGTGCATATATGCCCACTGACCATGAGTTTGATAATGCCAGCTGTTGGGTGACTGATGGCAGTATCTCTGAGGGGAGTAGGGAGGTCAACTGTTTCCTGCTATTTTTCTCAGGGGAAATATTCGAGGCAGTAGCCAGGAATACCAAAAAGTTGTTTGGTTTCTTGACGTAATTACACAGGTTACAGTACAATTGTGTGGAGTGTGACACTGCTCTCCGCTTTGAACCAAGCTATGAATAGTGCCACACCTTAACTAAGGCATAAAGAAGTGTAGTAGAATTGTGTAAATAGTGTCCATAACATGTAAATAATAAGAATAAACAAGGATATCCACATGATTGTAAGAGTATGAACATAAAAATTCCTGAATGAAGTTATTCAGAGTCTGAGTGTATAATTTTCTTTTTATGCTTTTTGCAAAATTGTGTTGTACAGTGTAAATTACATTACACGGAAGAGTTCAAAATACAATAATTGGAAATAAGTTATTTCTTTCAGCAAGACAATAGTAATTGGCACTATTTTACTGTAAAGGTCTCACTCCAAGTGTAAACTGTACACACTGTCAAGGCCACCGACCACAGTGTTACCGTGTACTGTACGTACAGTATATGGGTTCCTGTTTCTATCAGTGTACGTGAGGGTTTAGGTGCCTAGAAAATATGTTAAACGTGATTGGAGATAAATATCTGAGATCATGAAATCAAAAAGCAAAGAATACAATGCATGTGTGCTGAAATAAATACTACTACAGTACTATTAAGCTAAGTAGTATCTCACCATCCAGGTGTACAGTAGGCCCTCACCAAATGCGGATTTTGGGGATCCATGTTTTTTACTCTGTACAGTATACCATTTCATCAACCACGGCATTGAGTTTTGAGTATCTGTGCTTTGGTGTGGCGTCTTTATCCCTCCACCGTTTAATGTATTCCTCTACAAATATGAGAAATAGATCAAAATAATGCTAATAAATAAAAATATAAAACACTGCATTGCCATTTGGTAATTATTTCATTAAGGAGACAGGAGTGCACTCCCCCATCCCTCTCCCACAGACAGGTTACTGTAAATTATGTTTTCTTTTATCATTAAATTTAAGGCTTCTTGTCCTAAGGGTAGTTTAAAAGAATTAAAATGACTTGTTCTGCCACAGCGTCCTTAGCCAAGAAACTGCAGTTCTAGACCACAAGCTCAAGAAAGAAGACACAAGAGGCAACTTCTGCACCACAATATTTTGGGTCTTCATAAAGGTTCTTCTCTCTCCACTAGTTTACTAATAAAACTTTATGCCTTCATTGAAGAAATCTTTTTCTCTTTCTTGATATCATTATACTGCATAATGATGACTGACATACAGTACAGTACTTAAAACTAAGCAGTTTCATATTAACCAATATGGTAATTTATGGATCTAAAGATCGACAAATGTGCATGTACGCCGGGTCTGTAATGTACTACACACGGAGGTTTACCCGCTCACTCTTACACATCCGTGTGTAGTGCAGGCGGTTGCTTGCCCCACCCGGGGTACTCACACATGATAATTTATGTTTAATGTGTTATGTATGTGGAGAAGTATAGTTTATGTTCATCATATTCTGTGTACATTAAGTTAAGTCGACAACTGAATATAATTTTTACCTTGGCAGGATGGGACCATATGTATCAATAAACGGGAAACATTAATATTGTGTTTGTTAAAGAACTGTGTCTTACTAAAAATAAGGATATAGAAGAAAATATTTTTTCTGCAGAGACAAAATGTAAGTTGAGAATAGTGTACAGTACTCACATTGCTATTTCTGTCTGTGAGAAAGTTAAGCCTCTTGTGGAGTTACTGTTATGTTCCTGGTAGACAACTTACTCCTTTGATAGTGAGGTAGTGGTGAAATGGCAAGTTCAGCATGACTTTGTTGAATCCACCGACTGATCATCTGTTACAGCTCTGTTGGTCTTGGCGCTGTTACCAGTAAAAAGAAGTTATGGCATTCATATATCTAAAGAAATCTTGTGATAGAGCTGATTTAAGAGAGTGTGGGATAAATGGATAATTATTATAGACGACCTTTATAGAGAGAGCGAAGCATGTCAACACGTGTCGTTTCTTCCCTCACCTCTTTATCCTTAAATGCATATCAAACAACATTAGGGACATCACACATCCTTGTCACTCCTCCTTCCACTTCAGAACTCATGGTCCTCCACGTACTGTCACACATCCTTCACTGCTCTTAAAGAAAATTTTCATCACAAGCACCTTTTCCACAGCCCACACTTCCTCCTGGTTCACCTTCTCTTAAATTTTCTTCAATTCCTTAATTGCTACAATGTCCTAATTTATATGTAATTTATATACCTGACTCTTTGGTAGGGAGCATGGGAGGGGACGTCCTCTCCTTCGTGGAGGAAGCTGGTCTTCTACACAAGCTTCGAGTTTTATTTATTAACGTTTAAATGGTTTTTATGAAAATTCTATGCTATTTATTATTTACATTTTTTATCTTGCATTATTTGTTTTAAGCGTTCTTAGCTGTTGCATTGTCAGGGATGTACCATAATTACTACAATCAATCAGTCAATATATCCTTGACCTGCTCTAAATCCTCCCTGTTTCTTGGTGGATGGACATTTTGCAATCTGTCTATTGATTACAGTAGGGTCTCGAGTACACTTATCAACAGTACATGACCCCACTTACATGCTACTGACCCCCTGATCTACCCTTACACTTGGGTCTCACTCTTGCGCGAGCTAACACGCCCAGCATCTTTCACTCACTCAGCATGTTTATCACATGTCCCTGTTCGTTTAAAAAAATAAAATCGTTACAATACAGTACTGTAATGTGGCTTATAAATAAATAAAATAATATATAAAACTATGAAATAAGAAAAATTAAGAGCATGGGTATGTATGTGTGAGAAATGAACATATGTATTGAGGCAGTGAGCTGTAACTACGTTGCTGACTCACCACCCAGGTCCCAGGTGACCAACTGCACCCTTCCCCTTTCTATGTGACATCATGTGACTGTACAGTATTTTCCCATTTTAGCCAGAATCCCCAGTCCCCAGAACTCTCCACAAGCTGGAATTAAAATCGACCCAGAATTTTTCTGGAAAAATTTTAAATTCTGGGTCTGCAAACACATTTCTGGGGTTGAAAATTGGCCGCATTTCCCGGGTTTGCAGGAGTGATGAAAGATTACGTCATGCCCAGCCGCATTCTCACGTGCTGGGTGCATGTGTGGGATGACCGCTTGGGTAACTTGGGTCTGGGCTCGCATGCTGCAGTTGACTAATGCTGCCGTGTGAGTGCATGGGATGTTTGTGATAGGCTGATGCATCTCCCCCTCTCAGCCTAGCATCATGACACAATTAATTCATAGTCCCCTGCCATTGTATAAGCCAAAAATGTAATGTTAAACCAGTGTTAAGACATAAGAAGTGAATACAGTTACATACACTGCCCTGTACATTCAGTAAGTGTGAAAATACCATATTTACAGGAAAAGAGAAACACTAGAGCACCTTAACTATTGTCTTTATTCAAGACATCATTCTTCAGGTCATGAGACCCACTAATCCGCCACCCTGACAGTGGGTGACCTGACATTACATCAGGTCAGTAACATGAGACCCCACCTCCATCACAAGTGTTAAGACATAAAAAGTGATAACAGTTATGTATTACATTCAGCAGAGTGGTCAGTGTAGGCTCAAGAGGACTGCATCTGCTGGAAAGTACAATACTTTACAGTATACAGTACAGTATTAGTATACATTATTTTGTTTATTTACAATATATTGTACATGTACAGTGGTGTTTATGTAAATAAATACAGCTCCGTGCGAAGTGTGTCATTTAGACTTAAGAAAATTTTCCCCAGTGCAGGGTGGAAAATTCCACTTTCTTGGCTGTGACGCACAACTCCATTCATGCTTCATACACCCATATCATATTATTATTATTTTTTTTTTTTTTAAATATATTAATTTAACCAAACTTTTAGATTAACCTTTCAGGATAATTTGGGTAAAAAAAAATATGTTTCTTACATTTTTTATAAAAGAATTGAGTCCTCATCTTTTTATTGAGCTGAAATATTTTGTTTAAGGATCTTTTATTGAAACAGTCTTAAAGAGAATTTATTTAGGATCGTTAGAACAGATACTATGGATAAAAGTTTATACACTTTCGCAAGTCGTAAATATTCTCGCTTGTATCCGCAAACTAAATGTAATGGGAGAGTGTTTGTCCTAGCAAGATCAGACGATGAGGTGCCTAGTTTAGAGTCGAGATGAGATGTTTAATTTATATTCCTTTAGACTTTTGGAAAACTTTCCCCAGCATCCAGAAACATTCAGGGTTGTTTCTGTTCATACGAGATGCGTAGTCTAGGCTCTTGGAAACTTTTCCCATTACCTGGAAAAATTCCGGGAATGTGGGATTTTTCCGTGTTTGAGAAAATCGTCTCGAACCAGGAAGAGCTATGCTCCAGTTATTCCAGCTAATGGGGCTATCACTGACAGCACAGCTGCCACACATGTCTCTTGAGTCAGGAATAAAAAATCATAATAATAATAATAAATAAAATAAAATACAAAATACCAGTACTCCTTCCCCTTCACATGTTGTGTGCTAACTCTGGCATGCAAAGAAATGTTTTTGCCCTTGTAATAATTATTATTATTTATTTATTTATTTATTGCACATTCTGTATGAAAGATTGTGTGTACATATAAGAGTGTAAATAAATGAAGAAAATTACATACAGTATATGTACCCAAAATTATGAGTTGAAAAATAACCATAACATAGTTCTCTCACTCTGAACATTTCTCAGGTGTTCACACTGAGAAAATCTTTCTTTACTGGTGAATTTTACAACAATCATGGCCCCTATGAGGAAAATTAGGGCAAAGCTTGTGGTGGTGAGAATGAGAAAAAGAAACAACACTTACTGTGAGAACTTTGGAAGAAAAAGTCAAGATATTAGACTTAGGAGTGGGGTATTGAACTTATGTGTATATATACAGGAAGGGCCCAAATATATTGTGTACAAGAAATTCACACTTAACGGATCCTTGGAGCGTAACCCTCACGTACTCTAAAGCCCTACTTTACTGTGTTATATTTATTGAATTGTCCACGTTTCCATCTACATGAATTTAGATAATAATGTCTTTATTTTGGTTTGGTTAAGTTATCTAAGGTTAGGTTAACTTATCTTACATTAGGTTAAGTTAAATTAGGTTTATACTGATTCTTACTGCTACATCTCTATATTAAGGTATTATTGGAGCCTTCAGCCACTCAACTAGTACTGTTTACCATACCACCTGACACACACACTGAGGAGGGTGCTGGTATTACCTGCTCTCCACGTTTCAGTGATGCTGTCGTGTTATCTTCCTGGTCTGGTGCATCCCCTTCTTAACACCCATTCTCTTTGCTTACTTTGAATTTCATTATCATCACTACCATCATCACCATCATTATTATTATTAACCATCATCATTGTCATCGCCATTACCCTCATGAATATTACCTCTGTAGTCCATTTCATCAACGTCCACTCTCTCCATCATCAATTTCTCGATCACACTTTCCCCAATTTTCATTACCTGATCTAACAGCTTCAGGCTCCTGTAGTTCCCACACTCAAGTGCATCACCTTTATCCTAAGTATTCTTGATCACACTCTTCTGCCAGGCATCAGGGACAGTACATTCTTTCATGAGTAAAAATCCTTAAAATTTCACTGCTCTGTTTGTAAGGGTTCATCTGAGAGTGGCCACAAGGGTTTAGAAAATCATATACTGTACTGTAAGTTATTCTGGGGAAGTTCCTGATGTCATTAGAACAACACAGCTGATTCTTAGTCATTATTTACTTTACAATGTGACACGTGGTTGTAGCATCAAAGATTTTGTACAGGTGGTCCCCAGAGTTATGAACACCTATACTTAAAAAACATGATCCCACTAAATTGATAATAAAAATCAGACTCAACTTGCAAACATTTGCCGGTACATTATAGTACTGTACTTATGAACATAACACCACTTTGTTCAATCCTCCTAGCACCATCCATTCCCTATGAAAAAGGTAATTAAAAAAAATTTTTGCACATTATTTACAAGCAATAATTACATGATTTGTTATTTATGGTTTATAAATGTTTTGATTGATTATTTATGGTTGGGTTTTGTTCATATTTTATTGCTAAATTTACATGGTTCTGATTACGAGAAAATTGACTTATAAACCGGGTCAGTCATTTATTACAGAACATTGTGACAAAATTTATATCTTCTATTCTTGTAAACATTCTGATTTATGGTACAGTATCTTAAATCGGGCACCCCCTGTCAACCCAGCTGCAGGAAGGGTATTTTACAGTTAGGGAAGTGAAAGACAGCAGTTTGGGGGGTTCACCACCTGGTAAATTTACCAACAAATGTAATCTTTGTAATTAGTGAGAAAGACCTGACTGACTTAATGATCACTCATGAATTTTAATATGGTACATGACTTCTCATACAGTGGTTCACTCATAAACATTTTGTACATGAGCAGTTAAGAGTTACACGAGACAACCCTATGTTTTTATTTAGAACACTTTGTGTATTATGTTCGTTGTGGTGCTTGTTAATTATTCTCTTCTGTCACTGTTTATATTTTAATTCCAACACTATTCATTTCTACATACAGTACTCTAACTCTCCAACCTTCTGAAGCTGTAGACTCACAAGGAGGAAACAAATATAACAACACTATGTTAATAAATACCACAGGATCTTTATTCATTTACATCATAATTGTTTTTATTAAAAAACAAAATTACTTGTCATTGCCATCTTGTTTTAGAGCCATTGACAAAAATATATTGTAAATATATTTGTAATTATAATTTTAATTGCTTCATTCACGTTTGTATGTTAAATAAATACCTCTGTAAGGATTAATAACAATATTACTCGACAATTAATAAATAATCTTTAGCTGGTATTGCCAGTTGCCATATTTAAAATTGTCACATAACAAATAATTATATTAAGCATTAAAACAACTATATTACAGTACTGTACTAAGGCTATCTCTTCTTATACACACAAGGTTTAAGAATTATATCAGGAAGTGCAGTTATCTTTTTCACTTTTCGGTTCTTCTTAAATTCAAACAAAAAGAAATATTTTTCTGACGTGTCTTTTTGGGTGCAATGAAATCCAAATTTACTCACAAGATTCACAAATTGGGGAATGTCTCCAAACCGACTCTCAACTTCAGCAATTTTCATTATACCTCTGAAAATATAAAGTTAATATTAATAAACTTTATACTAAATAGATATCAATAAGAGGTCAGGTACTTGTGTGTGTGTAGTAATGTATACCAATAATACTTGAGAGATATGTATTTGTGCTGTAGTTGCAATGAAAAAGATATTTCTTAACACTGTAATGTTTCTTTTGTTTTAACAACTTGTGTAGGGTAGACCACAGGGTGTAGGAACATCATAATTGAGAAATAATGCAGACAGGGAAGGAATGAAACAGCAAGTAGGAAACTCTGTACATACACAGTTAACAGTCGTCCATCAGTCATCCACTCAATTTTTTATAACTCTATCTTCCTGTTCCCCTCTAGTTTTCTTCATTCACATCCATACATTAAGTAACTGAGCAAGTTTTATAAGGAGAACAATTAAAAATAATATAATGTTATCTCTAAGTTTATGAGCAACACAAATTATCTACATTCCAAACATATTCCCAGGCCATAATTGTAGCACAGAGTATCATTGAACATTAATCATCTCAGTGTTATTATTTCATGCTTCATCATCTTCTTCACCTTTAAAAACAATCCAATTCATTGTGGTGCTTCTTTGAGAATTATTTATCACTCTTCAAGGTACAGTCAAATGGAGCACACACTTGGGCAGCACCACAATTTGCACCACTACACAGTCCTAAAAGATTTAACCACTGTGCCATATTTTCCCACAAACCATTGAACAGTGGCCATTAATTCTTGCGAAAGGTTTCCCATTGTTGCATCATCATAATAGCACAGTCCATATTCAACCCAGTTAGATTTTTTATGCTATCGTTCCACTGAATTAGTTGCATAACATGATATCTCTTCCCATAGCAACACTTTATTTACCAACGCTACCTTCAACAATTCACTAATAATAAACTTACCCTTCTCTCAAAACTCTGTTGGCCTCTATAATGAAATCCTTGATGTTGGTCCCCATGAGTGAGAGGCAGAACACCACAACATCCACCGAACCCATCGTCAGTGGTGAGTGAGCCATGTCACACACCGTAACCCTGGAGTTGGCTGCTACTAAGTCAAGGGAATGGACCTTTTTCTGAGGTACACTGAGTGACAGAGCAGCTTCACCACAACCAAAGTCTGCCACCACATATTCTTTTGGCCTGAAATACATGAGTAATTTATCATTATTATTTTTAATCATTTTGCCACGTCTCAGCATACTGGCCATTTTCAGCAGTTGGTCTACCCATTGTACAGGAGGAAACTGGACTGCTCTTACAATCACCATCATCCTACTTCCAGGTCTCATAAATTCCATAGTTATACAATATCTAAAATCTAGCTCAATAAAATCATAGCTTTATTAGAAACCCTATACAGTATTTAGAATGTGTAACCTTTCACTGAACTTGTGAGTCTGTGAACAAAGATGTGGCATTATCACATTCACAACACTCAGTTTATTGATCAAAAGTATAAACTACAGTTCTCAAAAGACATACTTAGTACACAGCCACTTGACAACGAGGTCCAGAGGATTGACCGGCCAGCGTTTCACTTGTGCCTGATAGCCGGTATGGTAAGTGTCGAAGGCCTCACGGTCTTTCTTGAACAGTTTAACAGCATCGGTGCTCTTTATTGTATACAGTTCTTCATTTACCATTCTGTAGAAGATTTTTAATGATTTATTTCACCATCATTTTGATAATAAGACTGTACAGTAATTAATTTCCTAAGGGATTGACATAATGAGGATGAAAATAAAACTCCTCAGTAAATGTTGTGAGAGTTGTTTGGTCACTAAAATAAAATTACATGAAATTTTTAATGACCTGCGTCATTTGTCCATCTATCAATCTATCTTTAGTGAATGTGGTCTTTTTCACCATCAACGTACAGTACATCATCACAAGCACTAATATAACACAGTAGATAGTATGAGCCCCACAGTAAAATGCTTACCGGAATCTGGCGGATGTAAGTCGATCGGCCATTTTCTTGCGTAGAGCATCTGCCTGGCTCAGTTCTGATGGTTTGGATTCTTCTTTTTCTGTCTTGGCTTCTTCCAGTAGTCTTGATAATTTACCTTTGTCAAACTTTTTGTTTATAGGACTTTGAAGATTTGACTTTTCATTTGTATCCGTTTTCATTTTCTTCTTCCGGTTGTCTGTTATATTTTCATTGTTTTTCTGGTTGTCTGTTATCTTGCCTTTGTTTTTCTGGTTGTTCGTTATCTTTTCTTTGTTTTTCTGGTTATCTGTTATCTTTTCATTGTTTTTCTGGTTGCCTGTTATTTTTTCATTGTTTTTCTGGTTGTTCGTTATCTTTTCTTTGTTTTTCTGGTTGTTTATTTTCTTTTCTTTCTTTTTCTTACTTAGTACATTCGAGCTTTCTTCATTTTCTGTATCTTCGTTCTTTTCTTTGCCCTTGGTGCCTCCTTCATCACCACCTGAATTATGACTATAACTCAGCCCCACATCTTCACCATCATCATCTTCATATTTTGAATTCTCCCGTCCACCATCTTTATCAATGTCCATTTTATCATATTCCTCAACAATTGCCTCTTCCTTGCCTTTTTTTGTTGACTTTAAATCCATAATTGATGTGTTTTTTGTAACATTCTTCTTACCTTTTAGTGACTTTGGTTCAGAAAGGTTATTAAAATCTAATTCCTCTAATAAAAGATTAAAGTCAGATTTAAATTTAGGGTCAGAGTCAACGTCATCATCGGATTCAAATATTAATTCCTCTACTCCATCATCACTGCTTTCTGGTTTCTCCTTCTTCAACTTCTTTTGTTTCTTGTTATTTGATTCGGTGTTTTTCTTCCTCTTTTCGGACTTTTGTTTTGTCTCTTTATTTACGTTTTTTTCCGAGGGTGGTTTCTTTTGATCTGTTTTAGTTCTCTGATTCTCTGAAATTGAATCATTTGCACTCATTTTCTTTTTCTTCTTGTTCATTTTACTCATTGGTTGTTTTCTGGTTTCATGTGAGGTAACAGTAACTTCACTTTTGGTAGGATTTGCTTCTCCATTTTCTTTTTTGGTAGGACCCACAGCTCTATTTTCTTTTAACACAATAATGTTTTTTTCGTTTTTGGTGCTGTTCTCCGGTGATTGGTTAACTTGTCTGTCCTTAGGTTTTTTCCTCTTTCTTAGCCTCAATTCATTCTTTATTTGAGCACATCCTTTCCCCTCATCACCTCTCATCTCGATTGTCTCAGCACATCCTTTCCCCTCATCACCTCTCATCTCGATTGTCTCAGCACATCCTTTCCCCCCATCACCTCTTTGCTCTAAGACAGTGGTTGGTGTTACCTTCACCACCACACAGCTGTCACTCTTCCCTAGACTACTAATACCATTCATACCTAAATGATTACTATTCCCCTGAATCCCCTTGGCTTCATTCTGTTTAATATTTAATTCCTTGTACTTGTTCTTACTTCTCTTTCTCTTCTTTAAGTTTGTATTTACAGGAGGAGTGTTGTCGATGCTATCTTTATTTCTCCCCTGTGAGTCGTTTAACACAACTCCCTTTTTGTTTGTCTTATTTGTCTTCTTTCCTGGTGATTTGGTTGTAGATAATAAAGGTTTATCTTGAGTGACACTGGTATCTGTCTTATTTTGCTTGGTGGTAATATTACTAGCCTCAGTTTTTCTCTTCTTAGCAGTCAACTGAGTGTCTATGTTATCTTCAGTCTTCTTCCTCTTTCGTTTTTTCTTTGTCTTTATCATACTACTATCAGGTAACTCAGAGGTCATTGCCTGAAATAAAAAAATAGAAAAATAATATTGTACATTAATATTAAGTTTGAATAATGCATAAACCAAATACAGTTAGTATTAGCTACTGGGTCTTTGGGAATATCTAACAAATATTTTTTTTCTTAGCAGTATTTCCATAATCAAATAACCTGTGGTGTAATGGTCAATCATGCTCGCCTCGCAAGCGAGCGGACCCAGGTTCCATCCCCGGGCAGGGCAAAACTAAGGGCAAGTTCCTTTATGTCATTTGCCTGTGCCTCTGTCTACCCAGCAGTAATTGGGGACCTGGATGTTAATTGATTTGCGGATTGTATTTCAGGTTAATGGTTAGCCAGAGCAGTTGGTGAGTTGGCCGGTCTTCTCGGACTATTCCTTGACACTGGGACATGCAGTTCGGTAACTCAGGGTGTGGTTGTTGTGTTGGCGACAGTTTCTACACCTGAAACATATTCATGCCAAGGTGAATCACCTGTTTACCTGTGATTAGTAGGTTATTAGATAAATGAACACCTACTTCTGCCCACTCTGGCCAAGTAACTGAAGCTGTACCCACTCTGGCCAAGTAACTGTACCCACTGGCCAAGTAACTGTAGCTGTACCCACTCTGGCCAAGTTTCTGTAGCTGTACCCACTCTGGCCAAGTAACTGTAGCTGTACCCACTGGCCAAGTAACTGTACCCACTCTGGCCAAGTAACTGTAGCTGTACCCATACCCTGCCTTTGTGTAGTACTGTACATAAGAGAAGAGTTTATGTTATACATGAACCTAACTCAATTCCAGAAATGGGAAGCACAATTTAAGGCTATTGGCTTTAGGCATATACTGTAGCCTGCTGAAATAAAAGAGTACTGAGGTAGTTTTCATCAGTATGTCGAGGTGTTCAAGGCACACAGACGATAATGGTAATGTTTAAGGACAGTCGCCCGGGTTATCCAGCCACCTAAGGAAAAATATCTATTGAAGACAAATTATTTCTTACCTCGAGACTACAATAAATCAGGTGGAGGAACAGCACATCTTCTATTAAGGTTTTAGTACCGAGTTTATCTCTGTATAAAGATACAGTATACGCTACTGCTGGCTCCTGCACCAGGCTGCCGCTGTCTTGATTTATGTGAGCATCAGTAGTTATCGGAACATTTCCTATACACTAATAATGAAGTTCTTCCCTTTAATACTCACTAAAAAGAAACAGCAACAACGATGATAAATTATTCTTTCTTACCTTCATAATATTATTAAAAAAAGTATAAGAACATAAGAAAATAAGGAGTCTACAATAGGCCGGTGATACACGAATACCAAAGAACCGACAAAACACACCAACATAACCTACGATGGAAGTGTATTATTATTATTATTATTTTAGGTTTATTAAGTTCACGAGGAAAGCTAAATTGGTTGATGTACACTGCTTTTGTTGTTTGTCACTTGGGTCAACATCAAAGCGGGAATATGACAGGAAAACTAGGGATAAAAACCTGAATAGAAAAGGTGTTATTCATCCACCTGAATTGTTTGAGATAAGAAATGTTTATTATACAAAGATTTATCATACGTTCGCTGAATAACCCGGACGACTCATTAAATATTATCGACACTAACACACCTATACTTCATTAGTAATAGTTCAGAGGTAAAAATTAAAGTAGATCTACTAGTACACATATGACTACAGACTCATTAAATGGTGATAGCAGTTTTCTCATAAATTACAGTATAAAGTTTCTCAAACATAGGCGGGTAGACCTATGGTAGACCTATGGACCAGTCTACCAGTCTAAGCTGTGGAATCAAGAACAATGGAGGGATCCTACAGAGGCCACAGACCATCTTCCCTCATCATAGTCTCCATTAGGTAATTAAGGTAGTTAGTTAGGTAGGTTTAAACCCTTATACTCACCGAGAACTCAGAGGCATCAATGTGGTAGGAGAACACATCACCACCACCCCAGTCTGGTATTTGAAAGCTCATGGTGGTATACAGGAGTCACCACGGGGTTTATCTATCTGTCTTTCACTATTTCTGGTAGATAATTACTCGTCAGCACACAAGAATAAGACATTAAAAGATAACTGGCATCATCCTATCAGCTGGCCACCACAACACCACCACATGTGACCATAGTATCATGTTAAGTAATTACAATATTAATAAAGGTACAATGGTCAAATTATATCATGTTAATATTATACATTTATTCATTAAAAAATAAGAAGGGATTATTTTATTTACTAAAGGTATGAATTTATTACTTTATTTTTTTTATCAGATTCCGTGGATAATTAAAGTTTATTTTATAGTTATAATTTATATATATATATAAGTTACATTTTTTAAGATGTTATTAAATATGAGTGATATAAAGGGTATCTATCCCTCCATACATGTAAAGAAACATTAACATTAACACCCTAATGGTCCCTGGCTGTGACCCTCAGAGGTAAACAACAGCTTGGCGTGTGTGAGGCAGAGAATCATCAAGAAACATTGTTATAATTGTTTCTGAATACTATAGGAGACTAAACGTTATAAAATGGAGACCAAGACTGTAGAACCAACAGTGATGGATGTAACAGGTGACTCACAACTACCTGGGGACAGTAGTGAGGGGGCCTCCAGTGATGGGGCTCAGACGTCCTCATCCTCAGGGGCTAGACAAAGATCCTACAGTCCTCCAGGTGCCCCTAAGAAGAAGGAACCCATGTGTATAATTGTCCTTGGTATGGCTGGCTCGGGCAAGACTACATTTGTGAAGAGACTCGACTCCCATTTGAACATCAGAAAGCCACATCATGTTATAAACCTTGACCCGGCTGTTGATAAGCTCCCTTATATATCTTATATTGATATACGGGACACAGTTAACTATAAGGAGGTTATGAAGCAGTATGGTTTAGGGCCTAATGGTGGTATTGTCACGTCCCTAAACCTCTTCTCAACAATGTTTGATGATGTTTTAAAACTAATAGCTAAAAAAGAGGAAGAGTTAGATTATGTAATATTTGATACACCCGGTCAAATAGAAGTGTTCAACTGGTCAGCTTCTGGACCCATCATTGCCGGGGCACTCGCGGCCACTTACCCAACCATCATTGTATATGTCTTGGACTCCGTTCGTTCTACTAATCCTCAGACGTTTATGTCCAATATGCTCTATGCTTGCTCAATTCTTTATAAATACAAACTTCCTTTTATTATTGCCATGAATAAAATTGACATTGTTGATTGTAAATATGCCATGAACTGGCTACAGGACTTTGACGAGTTTCAGGACGCACTTTCCTCCGAGTCAACGTACGCCTCTAATTTGACGAGGTCGCTGTCTCTCGCACTGGAAGAGTTTTACAGCACCATCAAGGCTTGTGGTGTCTCAGCATTCACAGGAGAAGTAAGTAATGGGTAAAATTATAGTTTTGGTCATCCCAATCTAACCTAACCTAACCCCCCCCTAAGATTCCTCAGATGACCGAAGCTAAAAGGGTAATGTACCTGAGTGTATAGTGAGTTGCCTGTTTTTTTCATTTGGATTTTATGCTTTGCTTCTCCATGTTACCTAATTAAATGTGTTTACCTCATCAGCTTTTAAAACTACCCCTGTATAGTGTTTTTATCACGGTTAATTATTAGTTTGACCCAATAACTGTTGCAGTGGGTAAGGGTATGGGTACACTTACATCTTAATTGTTTATGGTATGTACACTTAATGGTAAAGATTCTTTAATGGCCATAATGGGAATTTAATGGCCAAAATTGGTTTTCTTATTTTTTTGTGGTGATTAGAAAGAATAGGACCTAATTTTCGTGGCTGATGTGGGCAATGTTATTATTCGGTTTAGTACATCTTCAAATTACTTTTAGGCAATTTCTACCTCATATATATATTCCTCAACCCTTGAAGCCTCGGTAAAATTGCAGATTACAGCAACCAAAGAATCTAATAAAAAAAGAAAAGGAGTGATTTGCTGATGGGTTTTGATGCGATTGGTTCAAATCTGACAATTTTTTTTATCGGAAATCACTCCTATTGAATTTAGCCTCCCCCCCCCCCCCCACTAACTGTAATGGGGGAAAGCGTGGGAATTCGTGATTCTGGGTGGGGGAGAGCCAAAACGAGTGACTTGTGGTAGAAGCGAATTCCAAAATTGTCCGAATCACGACATAAAAACATCAGAAGAACACATAATGCAACAGATAGTATTCTGTTATTTACGAAAAAATAGTCGATATATTAGTTCTGTCTATTGCGTGTTCTGAATTCCAGGTACTCTGTGCTTGCTAACTTATACAATACTATACCAAACTAAACCTTAACTAACCCCCTAGCCAGGGGGCTCTGCCCCCGGACCCCATGTGGCCCTAGACAGGGGCTTTGCCCCCAGACCCACAGACGTTATGTAATAATCCAGAGTTGCGTGGTCAGCCTCCACGAGAATATAAATAACCGTTACAGTATCTCTTACCTTACTCCGAGTCAGGGTTGGAGTCTGAGTCAGGGACCAGAATGCGTCGTGGGTTCCGACCCAAGTGTAATACAAGAAAAAATCATAGAAAAAATGCTTCTATTGATTGAGTGTAGTGAATTTCAGGAATTCTTTGGTTGCTGTTTACTGCAATATTACTGAAGCCTCTTGGAAACTTGTTTCTTTCAGAAAAATAGCACACGTGAGGAACACCTAAAAGATTAGATCAATAAATCTCCACCCACCTTTTTTGTCTCACCGCGGGTGAAGGCTCCCTGCAGGGTTAGGTTAGGTTAAGATTAGTTAATTTAGTGAACGTTATGGGTCTAGATGCTTGGTTTCCGATGTATTTGGATGTGTATTTTGTTCAGATCTCACCTTCGTTTTTGATGGAAAATAGCCGTTTTTGATCAAGGAGGACTTTCATCATTTTTTTTTTAAACCGACGCATTTCCCATGGAAACGAAGGTCAGATTTGAACAAAACACACCAAAATAACATCAGAAATCAAATATCTCATAACAAAATTCAAGGGTGTGCTAAAAGGAATAATCATCATAAAAGAAAATTTGGTGATTAAATTCCCATTCTGGTCACTAAAGAATCTCTACCCACTTTGTACCTTAATTTACTTTATTTATTTATTTATTTGTGGTGGTTCGGAGAGCCATTAATTCACTTTAGTGTACATACAGGGGGGGCCCCAAGTTCACAGATTTTTATTTCGCGGTTTCTATTATTCGCGGATAACGCCCTGGATGTACCCAAGAATGTCTGTGGGTAGTTTTAAATTTGCCGGCATTATCACAGCCGGGACAGGGAGCCATTCGTTCTAGAGACAGTAATTTTCTTTACCTGTATTGTAAATATATGTGTGTGTGTGTGTAGACATGCACATACAAAACACATACAAATAAATAATAATTGGAAAATCCTCTCAAATAATTGTGACAGTTTACCCCCTAATCTGTGCTTTATTAATAAAGTGTGTGTTTGTCTACACACACACATACATACAGTATACGTATACAACATGTACAGGTAAAAGAAATAATTGTCCTAAGGGCAAACACATAAAGGCAATATACATTTCTTTGTGCACGTAAAAATGTACCCCCGTCCGCAAATGTTATTCGCAGATTTGGCGATTCGCAGCCATTTTGAGAACCTAACCCCAGCGAATTTGGGGGGCCCCCTGTATTAAAAAAATTTGGGTCACTTAGGAAACCAGAAATACATTTGTTATTGTAGTTCTGGAAGTTTAAGTAAATGTGTGTGTGATAATTCTTCTTTTTTTTGAGAGCTGAGTACCTTGGCTATTTAATGTAAAGGCTAGCAACCAACCCTAACCTAATACCTAGTAATACAGTATCCCTCTCTATCCGAATGATCACAATTCAGATATTTGCTTATCTGTATATTTTATTCTTACACCCGAAGATGATATTAGCTTATCTGAATGTTGGTCCGGTCGAAATTTCAAATCTCAGGATAGGTGCAGCCCAGGAGTCAGCTGGGGTGGCCATTTTGCTCCCTACATGAGTAGGAACATACTCTTGCTTAAGGTGCATGATGTCACCTCCTCCTACTCTCCATTCTTTCTTTGTTCTGTTAAAGTGAAGTACTTTACTTAATATTTATTCATGCCATCCTTTCATGAATCTGTACGCAATGGCATCCAAGCATAGTGGTGATTCCTCTACTACCCCCTCCACTGCCAAGAGACTTTGCAAACCTGTTTTAATTATAACCAAGCTTGAGATAATCAAGCACCATGAAATCGGGAAAGCCCAATACTATATATATAAACGTATGTGTGGAGGCAGCGGGCTATAACTGTGATGCCAGCCCAGCCTCACTCACTCCCCCGATATGATGTCTTGGCATACACACAGCAGCAACCACACACCTCTGGGTCAGCTGGGTAACTGTCAGACTGTATTATGTTGCCCAGAGGATGGTCTGGGTGTGGAAGGAGCTATTTTTTTTGCACATAGTAAATAGGTATTGGATTGTATTTTATGATATGCTATGTATCAATTTTATTGTTTATCATAGCAATTTTTTTTTATTTTTCATGTATATGTAATTTAAAATTTGTTCGAATTAGGCTCACCTCGTGCTCACTAAATAGTTTAACTCTGAACCACTTTGTTTTATAAAATTTTGGGTATTAATAAATCAATCGTTTAACTTTGAACCCGTTTATAACAAACTTTTTATATGAGGGAGTACTGTATGTTTACTGCCCTGCCATTTGAACCTGTCATTCACTATCCGTGCCTTGCTGTTATCCCTTGATTAATGAAAATTTCGCTAATGTTAGGTTTTCAGGAACACAACCCCATTGTTAGACAAGGGATACCTGTACAGTATATGGTATATTAATTTAAGCTCATTGCTATTTAAACAAATCTTTATTGAAGAGATAAAACATAATTCTAGCATCATATTTATATTTACAGGGAATGGATGCCTTCATGCACCTCACAGATGAAGCTGCCATTGAATTTGAAGATTACCGTTCAGAACATGAAATGCTGAAGATGAAGAAGAAGAGCAGAGAGGAGGAGCGAGAAAAGGGTGATCTTGAGAGAATTGATCGTGACTTGAAGAAGGAAGGCTTATGCTCAGTGAGGAAGGCAATTAGGTTAGTAAATAGGGATCACATGGAGATAAGTCCCAGTTTATTTCACCTGATAATTGAACACCCTAAGCCTAATTTAACCGAATCATGGTTCCTGAATCAGGCATGGCTCTGTTCATCCATGATTTGACAGTGAGTCTCCCCAATTAATAAAATCTTTGGTTGAATGTTAACCCAGTCTTGTGAAGTAGACTCACTCATGAGATTCACAAAATATTTGCTTTAAAATTGTTCACTTGCATCATGAAATAATGTAAGCTGACATGACCCAGTTTGAACATCATATTTCTTATGATATGCTTGACTATGTGACCCAGCCATCACCAAACTTGATAAGTGGACAGTGAGGCACACAAGTGTTTATCTGTACCTATAGCAGGAGCGGGCTTGGAGCACAAACAACTTCTGTGACTGAGTAGCTGGGACTAAGGTGGGTTGTTGTTGTGGTGTCCATCATACAACAGAAGCAAGTGACTGAGGAGAGGAACACTGTTTAAATGGTTGTGACCCAACAACCTGCTACCTTGAACAGTGACTCATATCTCCAAAGAACCTTGTTTCAGGGTTCTGGTTTTAAGATGTTCGGAGACGATTGGAGTTCTAATCTGGTGGAATGACATGGGTCCTTTGGGATGACAGTTAAATTGTAAATTATTTTTACTTAACCCTTTAAGCAATAATATTGCACTTAGGTGTTGTATTCTGCTTAATGGCAGATGATTTTATTCAGGTGAGAGAAACCCCTGCTCTTTAATGGCTTAAATACAGCTTGTTCTCTTTGGTTTACTGATCAGCTTCCACAAGATACACTTTTATAGAGTAGCTTGAGCTGTCGCAACCATGGACTCCCTCATGCGACTGCAATAACTCATTAAAGTTTGGACAGGTGTTCATGAAACTTGGCAGAGATGTTGGTCTCTCTGTGACATGATCCAATTAATTTACCCACTTGTGTACGGTGGTCCCCTCTCTGCTGAGTAAAATCGTGTGGCGTCCCCATAGTGAAGGGGTTAACGAGGAGATGGAGGGCATTTGGGTACCGTGTTTGTTATGTGTTTGACTATAAGCAAACGCACACATGTAGAGTCTAATTATAAGTTTGTCTTTAATTATTCTATTCTTACAGGAAAGACACTGAGATCTACTTGACTCATGGATCAGATAGTGAAGGGGAAGGAGAAGTACTGGATGAAGAAGACACAATGGAGAAGAAAGAACTCGAGTCATTTCAGCAATTTCTCAGCAACCAAAAGGCAAAGAGGGAGCATCAGAGATATAATGTACTACCTAACTCCTAGAACACTTAACTCCATGTTGTGTATACTTGTGCTAACGTTTGAATGAGTTGTTTGTGAACTGATCACCTGGATTCTTTTCCCCCAATTATTATCATGTGTACAGCATTTGAGTAGAAAAGTAGAATATAATTTCTCCTTGCTAAAGTAGTTCTCAACTTTAAACTTTTCAGACTCAGATTTCTCACCCCCTCACCTTTTCTTATGGAGACTTTCTTCCTTAAATGCAGGATGGTTGATAATGCACAAACACACACATACACTCGTTGTCATTCATTCGTTGTCATCAATGTAAAGATGTGTCCTTCTATGGTACTCACCTCTCAGTTCATCCTTCACCAACTAGGAAATCTAAATACAAGTACAAATTAAGATACATGGTGCAGTACAGGTTGGACCATCATCCACATTACAGGTCTGGCAATCTTTTCTTCAGTAATAATACAGTACACACAGCTTACACTTTTATCAGCCCAGGAGCCACTTTTGATAGTTCAACTCTTATAGAAAACATCAGGGAATGGTTTGTTGTATATAGTATTTGAGGCTATTTTCATGTTATATCTTTCTTTTTGTACAAATATTGGGAAGCCTCGTGCTGTCTCTTCACTGTGTCCACATTTGTGAGTCCTGAAAGTCTGTGATGATTATTCCAAGAGTTTAGTGTTAATTTAATTCAAAGGTTAATAGTTGTGGTAGTGGTTTTATTAGTGAGGGTTTGCTCTATCAGCTGACTTAGCATAAATTTGCAGTTACAGAATTTTATAATCTTCCATTTACTCCCAGATGGCTTCTCTGAACCCCCTTTAACAAATTATAATGGAAGGCTTCTTTTATTTTTATATGTATGTAATTAATCATTTATGATTTAACATTTAAAATCCTGAAGTGCAAAATAGGTTTGCCTGTTAAAATATTTGGTCCCTAAATTTTTACTTTTAAGTTGTGAGTTACTGGAATGAGCACTGGTTGACCCCAAGTGTTGCTTTACTTAGCATCTCTGGTGGCCATCTTTCGGATGTTATACTGCTGTGGGGTGCATTGAGCTGGCACCAGTTACGGTAGGCTCTCGCCAATAACGTCTAATAGGTGCCGCCACCCCAAGAATTTCACTCATTCTCCCCCTTTGAAGCCCTCCTAACACTTTTTGTTAGCTGAAATAAAAAGAATTGTTATTCAATCATCAAAATAAAGAATTTGAGTAATATAACACTGACCTTGGAGGAGGTTTTGAGGCGCTTGGTGTGATGATTGTTCCGAGGCTGGGGCATGGAGGCTACTGCGTCGAACCTCCGCCCACTTCCCTAGCCCCATCTCCTTCCCCGTCCCCACGCTGGCCTCTCGCACCTGGTTCACCCACTTCCGCTAACACTTCATCAAACCCTGCAAAGTCAGAATCTTCAGGCATTTCCCCAATGTCATCAATGTCTTCATCAACTTTAACCTCTCTCTGTTGGTCTTCCTCGGCTGGCCGGTGTTGTGAAAGAAAGCGAGTGATGAGTGACTGCTGCCGGGCATTCACTCGCTCATTGTACTGCTTTTGGTATTTTCTTGAAATAGATTTTACAAATCCAATCATTTGCTCCCTTTCACCTGAGTCAATCTCAATGTCTTAGATCATCTCTTGAAAGCTGGTACAGACACCCAATAAGAGTGACAGCTTCTGTGTCGTCACTTTCCTCTGCTCGGTCTCCCCTGCATCACTCGCTGCATCACCACTCTCACCACCTTCTTCATCCTCCGGGAGATCCTTGACGTCATTTGTGTTACCATCTTTCATCAGTTCTTCTTCCCGAGTCACTTCTTGAAATCTTGGGGCTGGGATACTGCGGACGGTTTCCAACACTTGGTTCATTAGCTCTGCTGGCTGCTGTCTCTTCGTCTCGGCAGATTTGAGTTGTGGCAGGAGTGCCGACCAGGCATGCCTAACGTTTGCTTTTGTAGTATTTCCCCAGGCTTTTACAAAGAAATAGACTGCTTGGCAAATGTTATAATTTTTCCAGAAGGCAATAACAGTCATTGTGGAGGTTTCAGGTAAGCCAGGTGGAGCAGGGGTGGCGGGGGTTGCAGGTGAGCCAGGTGGAGGAGTAGAGGCGGAGGCTGTGGGTGAGCCAGGTAGAGCAGCGGAGGCGGCTAGGGTAGGGAGGAGAGGATCCTCCTCCTCGCTACTGCTCACAGTTTCAGCAATTTCCTTCACTTCTTCTTGTTTATCAGTTTCCTTCCTCATCTGTCATGGACATATTTGTAGTACAGCAACTTTACATTCGCTGTGATTTCTTGGTCTAGTGGCTTTATTTTGGAGGTTGTATTTGGTGGTAGAAACACAACCTCAACTCTAGGGTGACGTCCTACTAGAAATCGTGCATGACTGGGGGTATTGTCTAGAAAGAGCACCACTTTGAAGGCTACATTCTTCTTCCAGCAGTATTCTTTGGCATTGAGTCTCCTTGTACATGATTTACAGTTATATGACTTGTAATTACATACTGAAATTTACATAAGTTGCATAAGGGATTATTGATGTTCAGTATTTTGGAACACTTAGTAATTTGTCATCACATGTACTATTGTATACTGGTGGATGACGGATGACTTGTAATAATATACAGTATTTAAATTTACCAAAGTCACATAAGGAATACTTGATGTTATGTATTTTGTACCATAAGGTAACATGCAAGATCTGATTTTCTTGGTGGTATTATTCTTGACATTGTACACACAAGTTGTCACTAGATGAGAAGAATAGCTACACATGTCAGCAGTTGAATGGTCATTGCAACAAATGGCAACATCCTGTAAATCATTATTTTTTATTGACTGTCCACAATACCTTCAACATATTATTATACTGTGATGCGATTGTTTTCAGATTGAACGGCAATACTATATTTCCTGAAATACAGATTACAGAATGTTCATTTAATTTTATCTTTTGTAGGTCATGAAAACCTGAAGATTGAATAAGGTATTATCTTATTCAGTTTTTTAAGACCATATAGGCCAACCCTGCTGTACATACTACATAATAATCTTAAAATCTGTTGTTTGGAATAAATTGAATAGATACATTTTATCTGTTTTCAAATATCCTAATACAGTGCGGTACATTGTGAAGTTGCTGTACAAGTGGAAGGAGGACACTGGTGTTGCTTTTGATGCACTGGGGAGTATAGAGTCCAGTGTCTGGGTTCAAAGCAGTTGATGTGACAGTGAATTTCATCCTGGTGCTATTAATATAACTGAAAAGGTGAAAGTGGGTCCCATAGAACTGACAACCATTTAGGGGCAATGCAGACACAGCACAATAAAGACAGTGTGGTGGGCAAAGTGACCAAATACATAAACTTGACTAATACTGTTCACCATACTGGTATATAGAAAGAGGAAAATGTAACATTCACTTGTGTAATAAAAGGTAAATGAATGCTTTATGTTTGATAGTTTGTTGTGGTGGATGGAAGAACATGAAAGACCAAGGAGTTTCATAATGAGGAAGGTGAAGAATGAAGGTGAATGATCATAAAATTTGATTAATGGAACAATAGTAAAAATAGAGGACATGAAGGGAAGGTTGAGGAGGAAGTGAGACATTGTTTGTTGAAGAGTGATTAGCTTGAGAGTGTACTGTATATATATTGTCTAACAGTGATAAGCAGGACTATGGTGTGGCACTCAACATGTGAAGCTGGAAGAACTGGAGGAAGTCGATACTGTAAGAGAGAACAGGATTGGAGTAAAAAACAGCTTCCATCACTCCAGAACTGACGGGAAATTAACAAGCGGGAACCATCGAAAACTTCACGTACGTTACAGATGATGAAAACAAGATCAAAAGGTTATATCATCAGTAAGGTCAACTGGCGATAGTTTGACAAGAGGTCCATAATGCTAGACCTGATCAAGAGCTTTAAAAATATTGCAAACAAAAATATATTCAAAGTCGTCAAGGAGTATATACGAAGTGAATTGGGAGAAAGAAAAAAGACTACAGGGAAATGAAAACTATGTTGGGCACTAGAAAGGGTGGTATTCTACAGAGTATTTAAGTTCTTGTTATTAATGGCAGCTCCCGTGAAGAGATGTTCCAGGCAAGACATTAGCTATTTTACGAGATGAGATAACAGTTGTTTAGAGAGGTCAGGGACAAGTTCAGGTGCACATTTCTTCAGTATGAGAGAAGGGAATATCAGGGCCTTTGGCTTTGAGTTTAATATGGTAGGGAGAAGGGTTTTATTCTGTACTATAGGAACTGAAAGAACATTGTCACAGGGATGTTATATATTCTACTAAAGAATGGATCCCAAAAGGCTTTATTTTATGCTGAAGAAAATGGTGTAAGATCAATATGAATGACAGTAGTTAAGTTAAGGTTAAGAATTAAACGTAAAAAAAATAATATAAAAAAATATACTTGGTAACATACAAATCTTTTAAGAGTTCACTTGGGCGTGAGATTCTATTATTCACAAAGGATCTGAAATCACTAGTGATAAACACAGTAGCACTTCTCGCTACTGCAGATACACTTGGCAATAATACTGTACTACGTATATAAGAATTTTATTGTATGTAGTTAAAGAGAAGTATCATATAAATTTAAAAAAAGACTTGTGCTAAGACTGAGTATAAAATCTGCAAGAGTATGCGCATTTTGCTCTAAACTTAGAGTAATGACTGGCATATCAGTCTTATTTAACCTTTATGAAATTACACATTAATTTGCTGGATCTCTATGTAAAATAATTTTATTATACCCTAGAGATTTAGATAAGAAATATTGCGGGATTCAAAGCTTCAAGGATTAGAGGAACAAAATGAATAAAAAATGTTAAATGTACTAGTATAGCCAGATCAGCTATTGGTAGCTAACTGGTCGTTTGCTCTTAACAAGCAGTGACAATTATGACCAACTTAAAATGTGAGAAAAAAAAACATTTTTGTGACGTCAACGTCCCCTTGATAATCTGCCACTGAGAAAATGTAAAACAAATCATTATACAGTATACTGTAGACGGTATAGTGTTATTACTGCCCTTCAACTACTAAGGTTTTCAAGTATATAACAATGTTAGAAAGTTCACGAGTGCATTAAAAACTGAGATACAGAACTCTTATTGTATAGAGCTTTATTACAAAATAATATAAAAACAATTTTACTTACGGTACCCACCTGAAAAGCCCATGTAAAATACCGTATTGTCAAGGTTGTCAACAATTGGTTATATCTTCCAAAGTTTTTGATATTAAGATAGGATAGTGAATAATTAAAACAATATTTTAGATCACCTTCGTGAAGTAGGTAGCATCCCGTTTTCTGTTTTTTATCTGGAAAAGACGGTGGGAGATTCCTCACATTCCAGGAGGCCCAGCAGGAGCTGTGCGCCGAGCCCACACTAGATGGCGGGGCGTGCGGCACACCTGTGAAACACAACAGTTTGCTGTGGAACTTGTGCCGAGTGAGGACATACTTGTGGAATTTACCGTCTGGATCCTTCAGGTAAGACGTGAATGTATTTGATATATGATCAATGGTTAGGTAAGAAGTGTACACGTATACTTCCGTCTATATTATATTGAAGTAAATATGGTGAGAGGAGTTATCAGCAAAGGAAAAGTGTGGCGGCATGGAATAGCCAGCTGAGCTGAGGCCAGACCGAGCAGTCCCAAGTCTCGAGTTGACCTGTGTAATTATCCTTGTTGTTGTGTTAGACTTTATGGTTTTGTTATTGTCTCCTCGAAATTGTTTACTCAATCACATCCAGTAGTATGGTATCCCGGATATTTACCATTCATTAAGTTAACGTGAGAAAACTTCAAACTTGAAAATTTTAGGTGTTGTCTTCGTCACCCACAAGGTCAGAAGGCAGAGATGCCGACGAGGTAATTTCTGCATCTGTTCTTATCATTTTATTTGTCTTTGTATATGTTCTCACCTTATTATTATATGATACTAATAGTTCCTTGTTCTCAGTGCTGGACAAGCTTCTCTGAGTGTGTCATCACAGCCGGACACAAATATAACTTTTAAAATTGCATCATTCCGGATCATTGGTCGGTTCACGTCGATGTGACTTTATAGGGTATTTTATGTTCCACTGACGGTTAGGTAAAAGCCTTAAGCCGTATGTAATGTTAAGATGGAAGAACGAAGCTCACAGTGTTGTTGAGTAGAGTTGTGGGGCGTGGATCACTTCTTCCCAGTCGTCCGTGCTGTTGAAGTCACCAAGGGCCGCTCTCCCACAAGCGGTCGTCCCGAGGTAAAACAGACTGTACCACCAAGTTAAAAGCTTTCATGGTCCATTACATATATCATAATCAAAGTATTCTATGTGTTGAAAGATTCTCTGACGTGTAAAGTAGCATCACTCAATTGGTTGGTGTCTATATGACTATATCGAATAATTTTTATTACCCAGTGATGCCAAATGTATCGAAATGGGGTTAATTCTCTTTCCATAATGAAGCGATGAATGAGTAATAGCATTAACTTATATCATTGATAGCTAAAAAACATATTAGCGATGCCTAAACTATTGGTTAACCGAGAGACAAACTGGGATTACAGAATTGTGTTTATAGATCAGTACTGCGTCAGGAATCACACACACAGAGCTGTATCACATCTCGTTATTGTTCACACGTCACTTCGCCAAGAATCAAAGGATCAGTTTATGTATACGAGTGTAGGGGAGACAGTGGCGAATCCAAGGAGAGGGGGGGGGAGGGGAGGGGCAGTCCACCTCCTCTTCCTACCCCCTCACTACCCACCTTCTGCCCTACCCACCATCCCAACCTCGTGCCCTACCCTACCCACCACTCCTCACTTCCCACCTCCTGCCCTGCCCACCGTCCCTCACTCACTCCTCGCTTCATGACTCATACACACTTAACTATCACCTTTGTTTATTTCTTGACGCCACAAGTAAGGTTTTCCATGAAAGATTGTGATATCCAAGTTTTGCGAATACAATTAAGAAAATTATACAGCTGATGGAAAAGAAACCTTATTCATAATGCATCATTTGAAAGTTAAATAAAATGCACATTGTTGGAATCGTTTAACTACGGACATAAACAACCGTACTGTAGTGGAGGTGGTTAGATTAATTAGATTATGAGTGAAGATTAGAATTCGTGAGGCCGAAGCTACCAATTTGTTCTGTCCGTTTCCAGAACCTCTTGCAAAGTTCCTAAAATAAACACAACATGATCATTCATGTTGAGTTTCCGAGAGTTCAGAAAGCCATGTTAGTCCAGCCAGCCAGCCGGATGTGTTCCCCCAAGGGACTGCCGGCTGCGTTTGCTACTTACCATAAATATATTCCAGTGAATCTTTGAAGCCTCGTTTGAAAAGGATAATCAGCACGATACTTAGAAAAATATGTATCAGAACTGTTCTAGTGATATTTCTTGCATTTTTTGTTTAAATTATATCTTGAGGTTTTTTAAGCAATAATATCTGGGTGTTTCTTTGTTCCCGGATTTTCATGTTAAGACCAGAACACAACTAGCATCTTGTTCTGTTAAGTGATGTAATTAAGCTAAGTACCGTAACTGTAGTGGTGGATTGTGGGGTGGTTGGGTGATGGATGACTGAAGTGAGGTGATGGATTGAAAGGATGATTGAAATGAGGTGTTTGATGAATGAATGACAAGTGAGATGATAGATGGATGACTGAAGTGAGATATTAGATGGATGGATAACAATTTAAGTGAAGAATGGATACCTGAAGTGAGGTGATTGATGAATAGATAACAAGTGAGATGATAGATGGATGACTGAAGTGAGGTAATGGATGACTGAATGAGTGGATAACTGAAGTGAAGTATTGGATGAGTGACTGAGGTGATGGATGAGACAATGACTGAATGAAGTGATGGATGGATGACAAGTGAAATAGATGGATGGATGACTGAGGTGATGGATGGATGGAGTGAAGTGATGAGTGAAGTAAAGTATTGAATGGATGAGGTAATGAATGATGATAAGTGAGATGATGGTTGGTTGGATGACTGAAGTGATGGGTGATGGATGAGAGGATGTCAGACGTAAGGTGATAGATAGAT